TTTCTTGGATTACTTCCAAAATATTTCTTACTAAAAACTTATCTACATGTAGCCATACATTTGTCTAAAGAGACAAATTATTTCAATAAAAAATCAAAAGTTCCAGCTTCAGTCAGGACATAAAATCGTTTTGCATTTGACCTGTCAATTGCTTTTCCCAAATATGTTTGAACAGCTTTGAGATTAAGGAAAATCTGCCTTCTCAAAGTGATATTAATTATTCACAGTATTTTCTACAAGAAGGAAAGCCAACTATGTACTTAAAATATAATCCTTCTATTACTAGTTTTCAGGTATAAATATTTAACATTATTCTACAGCAGAAATGGAAGAAACAGTATTTTGCAGGTCTTCCTTACTAACTGCTAGGAGCAATAAATTCTAGTTCAGCATGGTTTCTTAGCATAACTGTAATTAGCTGTATCAATGTTCACCCTACTTCAGAGGATGTGCTTTTCCACACTATTTTTAAGCAAGCTTAAATAAAAACTTTTTGTCATTTATCACTTAAACCTCTGTCTCCAGGATCTTTACGGTATATAAAAATTGCACAATTAAGGAAAAAGACATGAGCAATATACCATGGTTAAAATGAGTTGCATTTTTATGATATGAAATCAAAAGACTGATCCACATCTCAGCCTCTGATCAAGTGCTATTTTTCTTTCCAAGCCTCTCTCCCCTGAATTGTCTTGTCATTGTTTCTCTTTTAATACACCCTCCTCTTTTACAGGCTTTGTTTTATCCCTCCTGTGTACAATTTTTCAAGCATCCCACCTCATTTAGTGAGCCAAACCCTGACAACTGCCTCTACATATTGGCAGCACAATAAGTGCCCTGGTACTAAATAATGTCATGAACTACATCAGCCTCATTCACAGATGAAGGAACTCCCTCAGGTTACTCGGAGCATGGCACAAGAGACATAAAAACAGGGCCCTTAGACAGCAATGAGCAAGAGTTGGTATTAAATATATAAACACACACAGAGAAACCGATCACAAAGAAAAGGAAGAGCAGACACTTGCAAACAGCTGACCTGCTATCCCTTATCATCCACTACTCATATAAGCCTTCAACTTCCAGGTTTTCAAGCAAAATCTGTCACTTACAGATAAAAATCAAGAGAGAAACAAGAGAAGCCAGCAGTTAATCAACACTGTCCCTGTTAAACCGCAAGAATACCTACTTTTGTTTAAAACAAGGAAAACACTAGCTCAGTTTAGGGTCCCTTCCTTTTTGGTAACTACAATCTTACACTTGAATTGAAAATTAACATCCTCTCCTTCCCTCAGGATAATGAAATGGGCAGAAGAAACCAATATAAAAGTTAATGTGACCCCTACACATTTAGTACCTATTTATTGCTGGTATTTCCTTGAAGTACAGGGGAAAACAGGGCAAGTTTGGGTCTCACTGTGCGGGAAGAATCGCACACTTCTCCACAACATGACTACATGGCATTGCTGAGATAAATAAGATGATTTTCTTCATATTTAGGAAATGTTGGTCCACTGTACCCCAATAAGAGTGATTTCAACCATCTATACTGAACAGGTTTTCCACCCATCAAAACCATGTCTAAAGATCACCAAAGAAAGATCACTGACAGAAAGAATAAGAACATGCAGAGTATTTATCAGTTTCTTTTCACAACAACTCAGATTTCATGAACAATTACCAACTATTAGTGAAGGCAGAAGGTGAAAGCAAATGGATCTAAAACTCCTACCAAGAGCTTCAATCCCCCTCTACAATGGCAATGTGAATAATTCGTCAAGTACAAGCTCTCTGCGTACTTTATTAACGTCCGTGAAAATTTCAGCTTGGAAAACTACTCATTTAATGGCTTCTATTCACCTGAGCTCTTCAAGAAGTGGCATTCATTTGATTAATACTTCTTAACAGTCTAACTGGAATGGGTATTGTATCTAAATAACAGATTAAGCTAACTAGCACTGAGCATTGCAGATGCTTGGTGCTAGAGCAATACATTCCAGCCAGGTTTCCAGGTTTTCTCCAGCAGGCACTTCGTAACTGCTTCTCATTTCAGTTTAATAAAACACACGTTTGTGCTTGATGCCATCCACTACTATCATCTTCTGTCTTGTACCGTGTTCTATTTTACCTGTCTGTGACATCAGGGAGAATTCTGTCATGGATTTTAACTGGAGCAGAGTAGAAACATAAAATTATAATTTCTCTCCTATTTTCCTTGGACTGTCCTTTTCTGTCCTCTGACCTCCTTTTCTGAGTGAAATCAGCACATTCCCCCTCTTCACCTCTGAATATCCCTTGCCTGTACACCTGCTCCATTTTATTCACTCATCCCCTTGACTGACACGCATGAGGATCTATGCCAAATAAATAGAAATGCATCTTCAAAAAACAGGTAGAATTTCACGTTCTGTTAACATTTTGTATGATTAACTCATAACGTACTTTTACACTTGTTCTTTATGTCTCATTTACTTTCATCCACAAAATGTTCTTTTATCTAAATAACTTCGCTGTTCAGTTTTCTTTATCTACTCCAATATCTTTGTGCAGTATTGCATCCTCAGCACTTCTAAAGTTCATGGATTTGACACAGTTTTCTGATTCCTACATTTGATTATGCCAGAGCTTCAGTTTCAGGTTTGCAGCCAGAAGCAATAATTGACAAAATGCCTGGAGGGAAAAAAAGGATACTAACAGAAGTATTACCTCTGCCTTCCAAACTCTGTTCAACTGTGGTCTGAGATCACCCTAACAGCAATACTACCATTATTTCTTTCATTTGGGCATCTGCGTTTTCCCCTTCATTGAATCACACAGACATCTGGTGACATTTAGCTATTTCATATAGAGTAGAAATCTGGTGTACCTTGACAGTTCAATACAGAAGATGGAGGAAAAGAAATTCATAAAAGCAAATTTTCCAAATCCCTCTCTGAATGTGTTATTTCCAACATACAATGCTGCCTTATTACTTGCTTTGTAATTTCCTTATTCATATGGAAATAGCTCTTTAAAGTAAACAAAGGCATTGTACATGCTAGATGACATTTTTGGCTTCATTTATGAAGTCTGAACTGAGTTTTCACACTCAATGAAGTAGTAGTAAAGAATCATGCCTTTTCAACATGCCTTCTAGCTACCAATGCATATCTTAAATCTCCTTGCAGCATAATTCTTCTCTAAATCTTCCAAAAAGTTCAGAATTGCTCTTTTTTTTTTTTCTTAAAAAAAAAAAAAAATTGTCACCTGCTTTCCAGCAGGTGACATGTCACACTACCCACCAAACAGCAGCATCCATGGCACAGCAGAGGGCACAAGGCCAAGTGGCACTAAGACTCCTCCACGTGTCTGCAGATGTCAGGGGACTAGCAAACATGCTCAGCCCTCGCACCGTCCCAGGGTAGCGTGCAACTTGCCATTCCTCACCAGCCCCACTTGGGGGGTCTGACCCTACCTGTTGTGGCCTCGAAGACCGCCCGCCTGCAGAAGAAGCTAGGAAGAATGGGCATACAGCGGATATATGCACTGTAACAAACCCTTACCTAGTGCGTTTCTTAGAATCATGGAATCACTGAGGTTGGAAAAGACCTCTGAGATCATCTACTCCATCTTTTAACCTAGCACTGCCAAGTCCACCATTAAACCATGTCACTAAGCACCACAGATACATGTTTCTTGAGAGGCCTCCAGTACTCAGCCACTTTCCTGGGCAGCCTGTTCCAATACTTCACAACCCTTTTAGTGAAGAAATTTTTCCTAATACCCAACCTAAGGTGCAACTTAAGGCCATTTCAGTAAAAATTCCCAGCTGTTTACTTGGATTTCTGGATGCATTTCTAGGAAAGACTAATATGGATATTCTGGGGCCAAAAACACGCCTAAGAAAAGCATTGAATAAAAAAAAAAATACTCAACTACTTCACAACATTAGCAAGTTTTCTCTGCAGAAGCTTCTCACCAATAATCAATCCATTTTTTCACCAATAATCAATGCATTTTCCACGTTTCTGCAACCTCTGAGTTTAATTGGGGAGGACTGCTATGAAAGAGAAAAAAAAAACAACAAACAGTGGACAACTTTAATAAGCTCTGATATTCTCTGTTCCATTCCTGGTGCTCTAAATACATCATGAGGTCAACATAAAACTCTTCGCAGGTCATATATTTGTGCCCTGTCATGCATCAGCTAGAATCAGCCACTTGAAAGCTATTCCACTAACACTTAAAGTGAAAAAAGATGCAGGAGGCCTGCTGAGGTGACAAAATACAGGTAGAAGAAACAAGCTGACTTGGAAAGTCCTGGCAGCCCAGGCTGTCCTCTAGCACAAAAGACTGCATCACAAAGTATCTTAAAGAAAACAAATATCTTTTATTCTAAGTTATTTTTCTGCCTGATGCTAATTACATTCCATATATTACATTTCCTTGAATTTTATTTCATTTTTTTAAACTACAGATAATCTGTTTTACCCACAAATTGTGTCAGAGTGCACAGATATGAAACTGCTTCCCTAACCTGAAACAGAAACCTCGTTTTACTTTTCAAAGCATAAACATACTGCTGACAAAGAAGTCAGAAGAAGTTAAGGTTAACGCTAGTGTTCAAACATAAAAGAATCATCTGAACATTAACTTATATAATGATAGCTACAAATCTTCAGATGACGACCACATAAATTCAACAGAAATAACTCCAAGTTCAAAATCAGTCCTGCACCAATAACCACTGGAATACAGTGCTAACATGTGTTAATCATACACAGGAAAATGGAAACCATCTGACTCATGTTCATTGTCAAATACTGATTTTAATAAAAAAAAAAACAAACAATACCCTTTCTGTGCTGACTGTATTTAAGAAGTAATCAAAGGGAATTTACTGTCAGTGTTGAGTTCAAGCAGTTTTAGAATAAACACGTTCCATAACCTCCTCTAGAAAACCAAAACCTTAAAGTATTTTTCTTCTGGAAGTGAGTGCTATGTAAAAACTGCAGCCTTACCTTAACTTTAAGCACAGAAGAAAACATTTTAGCATCTTCAGAGACACCTCCAATGTACATTTTTTTGGTAAAGACAGGCGCGTGGTCATTTTCATCCTTCACTTCAATGAATACCCTGGCTGTATTACCTAAAGCAGGGAAAGAAAAGCATGCATAGAACATTTGGCAGTCAATCATCATGGCCTATCAAGTTTATACATTTACAATCCAAACGGATCATGTGGAACAAGTGCACAGAAAACACTGTAAGAATATATAAGAAATAACAGCATACCTGGTATTAGAAGTATGAACTTGAAGGAAATCAATCATGCTTTTTTTGCTCTACCCTTTATTGTTTTTTCATTTGCTATTTTTTTCTGATTCTTGACTTAACTGGAGCTGAAATGTTATCCTTTATAGCAAATTATGCCCATCACCTGCACACCCACACTTTGCTATTAGGGCTATATGAATTTGCATGCATCACCAATTGGACTGGCCCAACAGAACACAAGAAATATTAAAGGTTCAATACATCTTCAAGGAAAAAAAAAAAAACAAAAACAAACCAACAACCCTAATAATCTCTGTTTCATTAAACAGTTACTGATCCACCACATTCAACAATAAAGACATTTTTCCTTCTGTAAGGAGTAATGCAAAAATTAAGGACCTGCTGCAAAGAAGATTCAACTGTGCAGTAATCTATACCAAGATCTCTTTGTCTCTTTCAGAGCACAGTATAATCCAGAAAGATTGCTGGAAATGACGATGTCCAGTTCATTAAGAGCACATTTTCAAATGATAAATTACCTCATTTCAGAGTTGATTTTCCCAACTTGTTTCAGTGCCAGTCTAATTTAAATGCTGCACAGGTGCTATGCTGATCAGTTAGCTTTAAAACGCAGTCTTATTTAGAAAGAGTTGAGTGGCTATATATACATTGGGGGGCAGGGGAGGACAAAAAATTTATACACAGACTATTTGTTAGGATGATGAAGTCACCAAAAATACTGCATCTGATGGGAAACTAATGAGTAATTCATAAAAGCAATGGAAATCTGAGAAAAGTATTTAAAATGTCATCCAATGTATTACTACACAGAGAAAAGAGAAAGGAGGAAGAAAAAGGAAACGACATTTCCTCAGAGGAATAATCAGTTTTTCACCTTCCACACTGATCTGTACAGGTAGGTTAAAAAACTTGTAGGTACAGTTACTCAAAGCTTCAAGGAAAAATGACTTCATACCAAACTCATGAAACAAAGCCACAATCCAACATTTAAATATCTGAACAGCTGTAACGTGGACATAATGATCTATTTGTAATCATATCTACTTTGCTTATGTTCATTTTGAAAGAACACTTCTAACTTTGACTATATTATTTACTACAGTGAAGAAAAATGTCACCCCAAGAGCTATTGTAAGATTCCGTGGAAGTCCAATCTCTCTCTTGTTAAACCAGATCCTTAATGTTTCTGGCTGCAATACCAAGTTACAGTTAGAAGCTGCAGCCCCGTGGAGAAAAATGAGATTCCCGGGTAGGCTTTTTCATTGCAGCTACACCCTTTAGGGAAGAAGGCAATTTAAGCAGGATTACAGGCAATGCGTGCAAGTGACCTTGCCCTGCAGAGCTAATAAACAGTTATATCAACGGTTGGCACCGGTTTACTGCTGTAGGGAAGAGCCTAATTGCATCACGTCCAGCGCCGGTAGGAGTAGGCATTTGCTAACCTGCACTAGTTCTCTGTAATGCAAATTAAACGTCTTTTGCTTAGTGCTCACAATGGACATAATTTCAAGCCAGTTTTGGTGAGGTGGCTTTGCCTCGTGCAAAGTTTGCTTTGCAATTTGCTCAAAAACATTTGTTTAATTTGCTGGTAGTCCTCTGAGCTGCCAAAATGCTGATTTGTTCAGTGATGGTTGAATGCTTTGAAAATGAGAAAGTTATTACATTAAGCACAAAGTAAATTAAATACCCTGCTTATTTCCAAACCAGCATTAGCATCATTAATGTTAAATTAAACATATACCTCCATTTTATCTTACTGCATTTCATACACAGCTTGTATTTCACTCGGTGAAGCAGATGTAGGGGAACGCAGAGCCTGTGAACTCCACGCTACCTCATGGTTTTATCCCATTCCAGCTGGCTGCAGCAAATGACCAGCAGCCACTTGCAGAGGTTGCCTTATTCCCCCATCAAATAAGCCTAGAAGCAACACGCATTAAAATCCCTCATCAGAAACAGTGCCATGCCTGTGAAGGGCATGCCAGACCCTTTGCAGCAGGGATTTCCCCAGCTGCTCTGCTTGACTCAGTCAGATATCGCCTGCACAGGGGGTTCTGCTCCTACGTCTGTGGTGCCCTGCCCGAGTGAGAAGGGCACCAGCAGCGCATGTTTCCGGAGTCTGGGCACAGCACTAGACTCTTCTTTTCCCTCATGTTTGTATTTAGTGTTTGTACTGAACAATGCGTGCACAGGGCATGGTCTCTCTCTTCTGGTACATGAAGGGTGGCAGCAGCACCTGCTATATAATGTGCACCGTTATTGATACTCTCGCAGGAAGGACAGCCAACACCAAATGACACCCATCTTTTCGCTCACCTTTCAGAGGGAAAGCTTTGTATCCCCATGCGTGCCAATCCTTGCTGCTCTGCTATTCTAGATCCAGAACCCAGCTCTCCTTAATTATTTTTCTGGATTCTGAGAGTTGAAACCCAAACTTACTTCTCCATGTTAATTCTTGCAAACTGGCACTCCTTGTGTGTAACTGTAATTATGCCAGCCAGGTGACAGAAGGAAGCATTTCACCCTGGACTAAGCATCACAAGACTGCCATGGTGGCCAAAGGACGAAGAGAGAAGAAATTGGAGTGCTACAGCTGCCTTCCTTCAGCTGTAAAGAAAATGCTTCTCTACACACTAAATATGCAGTCAGTATTTGATAAGCAAACAGCTTCTTTAGTTTTACTGTGCATTTTCATCACTAAGACATATTTATTGTCTGTGTTTTTTTTTTTTCATATCAATACCTTCAACGGTTACAAAGGTTGGCCAGTCTGCCATACAATACTCTGCAATGGAAGTTCCTGCACCATCATCTCCTGCAAGGTCTCCCATTTGTCCCAAGGTGTCCCATTTGTCTCCTCTCTTCTAGACCCTAGTGAGATGAGTCGCAGTGTGCAAGGTACATAGATCTGCAGCTGCTTTTAAGCCATCTTCAGCTTGTAGGTACCTAACACGTTGCATGCAGCGCTCCAGGTAATCAATCTCTCCCAGGACTAGAAGATGAAGCTTTTGGATTCTTTCAGCGTCTGCGATTTGCTTAAGGAAAGTAAAAATACCCAGAGAGCTCATCTAAAGGGAACCTGATGGTCCTCTGAAAGAGATAAAGCTAGTACATCAGGAATGACTAACACAAATGAAAACAACAAAAACTCTAGGGAGATGGTCAGAACTACTGCGTACTAACATTTCTATAAGCTTTTCCCAAACACATCTGTAGAAAACTCATTCCTACTATCACTGCTTACCTAAGTAGTGTTAATAACATGCCTGGATCCATGGGAATCTGCAGTTTCTGGCCGGATTACAGAAATCAAGTTGAACTAAAGCAATGCTATTTGAACACTGGGACAGATGAAGGCTGTAGTTAAACTGTGATTTGAGTGCTACCAGATTTGTTTTACACCATGCTTTCACCAGTGCTTACACTTGTCTTCCACGATATGCCAGAACGGCCATTGATACAGCTGCTCTTCATACATTGCTAATTTTAACAGAGAACATCTGCATCTTGCTTAAGCAGTGGCTGCTGGTTCTGCAGGCAGTAACAGCGGATTCTTCTCTTTTAGAAGTTCATTTTAATCAAACTGAGAATGAGAATGCGATTGGACAGGGCTCTATAATACTTTGCTTTACTACCATCTTACCAGTCTGTCAAGCCGACTCTGTGCTTTGGCAGGTGAAATGAACTGAACTGCAGCTGTGCTCAATCTCACCTTACTAAATTTGGCAGAACCAAATAGAAATCAGCACCAATTTTTGTTTTCAATGGGATTTTCATCTAAATTAGCATGTGCCCATTAAGCCTGGAGAAACTCTCATGCTGTAGTCGATCAAGAACAGCACAAAGAGATCAACGAGGCTCTGATGAGACATACACAGTGACATATTTGGAATAGCACTGATCCAAGGGCTGATTTAAATAAATGTATTTTTTTTTCTCCTGAATAATCAATTGAAAGGGAGCTCACATTTTATGCATTTTCTCTATAACACATTTCTTTGTGGCTCAGAGATAATTGAAGTCCATCTCAGTGGCTTTCAGGGAAACTACCCCCAGAGGTGTGTGGCAGAGAAGGCAGATTTGCAGCCCTTCAGGCTTTGCAACATATTTTGCCCATCTGTCACAACTCCTACATTTGCAGATAAGCATGGCAGCCAACTTGTAAAACACCACCAGCATGAACTTTACAACACATTTGAAAATAAAAATGCAAGACTATTCGAAAAGACAATAAATAATACAGGGATACAGAATTCATTTTCATAAATTTAACTAAGAAAAACTATCATTCCCAGTTATTGCAGAGCAGTTGCAGAATTGTGGTTACAAAACTAGATTTGTTTCTTTTCTGTTTATGATTCCCTAAGGTTTCTTTTGTGATTAGAACACCAAAAACATGACAGGAGAAAGAACTGCTCTCCATTTACTCTCCAACACCCATGGCAAAGCGCTGCCTCCCAGCCAGGATTACAGGACCAGTTTGACAACAGAAATGACCTCCCCACCCCAGGGCAGCACCACTGCATACCTGTGGGGAATCAGCCTGCACCACTTCTTGCTTGGGGCTGGGCCCAAGGCACAAGATTGTTCTAAATGCATGAATAAAACACGTAAATATTAAAACGAAAGGTACGTTTTTCTCTTAAAAAATCTTTTAATGCCAAAATAAAACCCATCTTTACCAAGATGGCAGGTTCACTCCTGTAATACTCAGCATACCTGGGTGACGTGAAAGCTATGTGGAAGAGCATTTCTCCCCCCCCAGCTGGTCTAACACTCTTGAGGAATTTTACCTCTTCACTTCCTTGTTTCTACTCCTAAGTTGATGTTTAATAATAATTCATGCTACTCTTGAATTCTGTAGCGAGGAGGAATATCTTGTTCCAGTTCTCCCTTATACCTGCAGCAGTCTGCACGCAGACACAAAGGGGGCACTCGCAATTCCTGAAAAGGACGTGTGCTTATCAAGACAGTGCAAGCACGACTGTAGAAATGACAAATCTTGTTTGCTATGGTTTTCACTTCTTGTTAATTCCCCCTAAAATATGGTAAAACCATCACATGGTTCTGTAATTATTATTGCATCTCTAGGAATTTTTGATTTTTATTTGCTGCATGTCCTCACCCTATTAACTGGGACCAGTCAAGTCAAAGGAGTACAGGCAGAAATAAAAAGGGGATGCGGGAGAGATTACAGTGACACTACAAAGGCTGCCAGAAGCTTCCAAATGAAGATGCAGGTGACAAGATCAAGGATGCAGGGTAGAGCTCCACCACATGTTCAAGTCCATGACACGAGAAACCCCTGTTTTTGCTGCCATCATGAGAACACTGCTTACTGGGGAGGCACAAGTTTTAGAGACAACCAAAGCAGGAAAAGATAAAACCTACAGAAGAGCAACCTGCAGCCAAAACTACTCCCTTCTGGTCCCCCTCTCAACATTGGGTTAAGCAAGAACCAGTTGACATGGGTAACTTGTAACTAAGACAAGTGTCCCAGGCAGCACTGTGCCAGCTGGTAACACCTTCACCCCTGAAGACCTAATTTTGAAACAACCTGTTCGTATCCACGTCCATTTGCAGGCACACACTGGAACAGCCTGGAGGTACTTTGTTGCGCAGCCACAGAGGACAGGTGAAGCTGTGCACAGACGGCAGCAGTAACTCAAGATAAGAGAGCAAATGACACGTGCAGACTTGGGGAATGAAAAGAAGCACTTTTTTCAGATACTGGAAACTGGGCAGCGGGAAACATAAGGTTGCATCCTCTGTTTCTGTTCTCTGAAGGATTTGCCAGGCCCTTTTGTCCATGGTGTTCAAAAGCAAGTGTATTCTGGCTCTGTTGCATGGCTCTTCACTCCAGATCAAAGTGGGAAACCCTGTCACCTCCCATCATGGTACACTTTTTATTTGTCTGGCACAGACACCAGATGCTCACAAATTCTTTGATTCTTAAAACCGGGACTAGGACTATTTCAGTGATAAAACCTCCTCCTTGTCTTTAAAGGTCTCCACTGCTTCTTCTTACTGTGTTTGGGCAGCACTTCTTCACTCATCACCCTGGCTTCCCCTGTCCCACCTCCACCTGCCCTTCTTCCTTATTGTTCTGACCCCTTTCCTCCTGGGTATCAAACTTCAGGACAACGAGATGCTGATGAAAACCTTGCCAACAGCTGGCTGCTCAAATGAGAAAAAATATGGTGTTTTGCCTGTTCTTGTTCAAGAAGTACTTTTGGTTTAGTAAATGATTAACTGCACTGATCCGTTCCCTTCAGCTCACTCCTTCTGGGAGGAAGGAGCTGCTCGCTCTGTGATTGATCACAAAGCAGCACCTTCAAATTGCAGAACACGTCCCGCCACACACAGCCCTGTGATGTTCCCTTTATGTAACTGTTTTTCTGTTTCTCATCTTATCCAGTGAGGGGGAACCAAAAGCTTCAAGTTGGAAGCTAATGATCACTATCCTCATTTGTCCTACAGTATGCCACTAGCCTATGGTTTATTGTGATAGCCAATCTAAGCAGCAAAGAGCAGAGACAAAAAAAAAAATAAAAATCCTGCTGCTAAATTCAACTGAAATAGAGAAATCCATTAATAGCTGAGGTCATTCAGGGTTCGGCATCATCAGATGCCAATTCCTCGGGCTAGAATTCCAACCTTTTAACTTCACTATCATCATCAGAACTGACATTTCTTCTATTCAAATGAAGTATAAATGCACTGTAATTTCACTTACAAAGTTTCAGTGAAAGTAACTCATTTTAGGAGTTCAATTTCACTGAATCTAAGAGTATGATTTTGCATGATTTAGCATCGTATTTTAAAAACCCAGTTTAAATCACCAATTTTATTTTCTCCTACTCCAAAGGACATCTCAATTTACTTTCTCTCCTCATTTATTTATTCAATTATTACTACACTATCAGTTGGCACTATCACTGAAGGACAAGCTTAGTTATGCTTAATGTGTATCATCCACTTTTCCATTGCAGAGATGATCACTCAAAATTCTTTTATACAGTAATGTAGTTAAAAACAACTTGGTAACAAGCCTCTGAGTTTTGTAAAATTTGGCACTGTTTTGTAGCTGAGCATCAGTGCTGGCTCCAGAAGGGCTCACCACTGCAGCTCCAGAGGAGGTGCAGGGAAGGAAAGGAAAAGGTGCTGAGAAAATGGAAAGGCATATATCATACAAATAGGAAGCAGGAATCAAACCATGAGGTCAAGGAGTCTCTATTACAAAGAGCTAAGTGATTTAGTAAGCCAGACGCTTGTGAAGTATTTTACAAACAGTATCAGATTCCTTAGCTATCCAGCACAGTGCATATTGGAAACTTAATACATGCTATACACCTGTGGATATCCACTCACACACAACATGCACAGGTCTTTGTTTAAACTGGAGTTTAACCACCAGTCATTATCAGGTGTCCCTGAACCAAATAACCCAGCCAGCACCTTTTCCAAACTGCTGTAGAGCTGGGAGAGCTGCTATAATGCAGACTCCGGATGGGAGGAGGGACACAGAGGCCAGCTCTTCCCTGACCAGCAAGACTGCTGCTTACAGGGGCAGTATTGGAAAGTCTGACAAAGGTATTTTAATGGCAATCCCCTGTACAATCTCTCAGGTTAGAGTCTATTACCACAATTTTATGGCATATTCGCAAATACTTATTAACCTCTGTAACTTCAAGAACTTTTACAATCTGCAAGAAGGTTTTCATTGGGTACCAATTTCAGTATTGCAAAGACTAATTACAGTAGCACATTTATATTGTTTGAAGAAAAAGAACTGCACCCTATTTTAAATTTTATCCTTAAAAATCTGAATTATGATCTCTAATCTGTACACTGTACTCCTATGAACATCCACCAGGCACAGAAGTAAGCTGCGCATGGCTTTCCTAATAATCTATTACTGTATTCATTACTAAAATAATTACAAGACTAATTACAGAATAGGACATCAGAATCAGTTAAGCGTGGCCTTTCCTTTGCAACTCACTGTTAACTCTGCGGATTGCCACCCGTGGCGTGGGAAACACCGTTTGTCATGGGACCACTTTGCCACCTCTAACAACGATGGGGTGGTACTGTGGCCCTCTTCCTACCAAACCTGCTGACACAGGTCACTCCTGCCTGCAGTGAGGGAGGAAGAGATCACACTGTGCTCGAGCCATGGTGCCGCCTCTGAGGGCAGACAGCACGGTGACCATCTACTGTCAGTAACTCCTGGGGAGTCCTCAGGTCACGCAAAGGGGAATGCAATGAGATGGTACAGCAGCATCCCTTGGGCAGATGTTTATAATTGAAAGAAGCTGAAGTTTTCCCTTCAACCTCGTATTTCCATGGATTGCTCAAGGTCAGGATGAGCCTTTATTTTTTTTTTCTCCCCCCAGTGCTTTAGCAGATTTACTCTGTGATTAACGTGGGTGGAAGTGCAGAGGAGAAATAAGCTGCAGCCACTTGTAACAAATCTGACCCATAGCTCATATTGGAATAACTTTGACTGCAAAACTAATGACTTGAAATAAACTTACAGTCAATTTTGAATGAAAGGAGAAGGTAATATTTTCACAGCCTTTAAATAACGTTCAATTCCTCACTGCCCTAGAGAAGTTTTTCTGTTTGACATTCCCACACCCCAGACTTATTGCCATCAAGTCCATGATGCTCCTTAGCTAGAGACACACAGATCAAAACACACAGCAAAAAAAACACTAGGCAAATATTGCCCATGTAAAAGCCTATAATATTAAAATACTTTTTTGGGTACAACGTGAGTATTACCGCTTTTTAACTAGGGCTCAAATGTGGCTTAAATAGGAAGGTGTAGAAGAAGGAATGGAACACAAAGTGAGACAAATGTCCAAAAGCCCGAGTGCTACCTTCTCCTTACAGGAAGCACAATAAAAACACCAAAACACCTTTCAAAGTAATTTCATTAGAAGACGACAACCATTAAAGAGGGGGAAAAAATCCCTTCCAATGAGAGAGCCAGAATAGAACAATTTGTAAACAAAACTCCTTTTGTGCCTAGAGATTCTGCAAGAAAACCATCCTTTCCTCCAGTTTGCTCTCAGTCACTTGCAATAACCTCCACACAGACCCTCAGGGGTGCTTAGGGTGGCTTTTTCTTCCTGTCTGCCTTGCTGTTTATCTGCCCCACAACCCTCTTTGTAGAGTCCTAACCCTTGCTGCTTCCCATTGCTCCCCTCTGCCTTGTGCTCAGCTCCTTCAGATTTACGCATCCCCATGGATACAAGTTCCCAGCTGCAGGGAGGAAGAGTTTGTATCTGTGCTGCAAAATGTATTTATGAAAAACCATTATGTTCCATCACAGAAAACCTTAATTACACTGAAAACATGTGGCTTTCATCCTCAGCTCTCTGTTCATATACAAACGAGTCGTGCCTAGATCACTGAAAGCCCTGTGTAACACAGACATTATTTGTGAGGACTTAGCCCAGGACTCATCAGCACCATGCGTGGAGGGCAAGCACAGAGCTCCATTAATGCACATGCCGCCTTTTACATACCATCATCAGCACTGTATTTCTGAGAACACAATAGCTAGAGTTCAGTTATCAATATTCTCAAAAAATAAGAACAAATATATTAAAAAGATATTCAACAGTAAGGATTTCAGAACTTACTTTTGGAAGGGACACGCAGATTGGATCGTACCACTTGTAATGAGTCTGCTTGAACTCGAAGTTCATAACTTTTTACACTTTCATAATCCAGGGACTTTTTAACTGATATCACACCCGTTCTGTTATTAATAGCAAACACATCTGAAATCCAGCAAAAAACAGAAAAGCAACCTTTTAAGACCTATAAACATTTTTTTAGGCAAAACATTTCTATGTCATGATGTCACTATTCTCTGACACCATCCTCAGAAATTCATCCTCATCCTTCCCGCCTCAGGATTCTAAAATCCCATGTAAGCCTTCTTGGAAGCTGTCTTCAAATGAGCACAGCAGCTGAATCTGAACCTGGTAATGGAATCACCAACTTGAGGAAATGCTGGCAAGAGCAGACAACTAATGTCTGACTGCCACAAAAATAAGGATGGGAGGGGAGTTTTCCCACATCTCTCCAAACAACTTATAGTGTAATTTAGCTTAGGGATTTTGAGGTGGACCACGGAAAGTAACTGAGAAGGATGCAAACAGTAGGAAAGATGGTGTGTTTGTTTTTTTTTTTTAAGTATCCAGCTCTAATCTAACACTTGTGGATACCTTATGGTAGAAGTCTTTAATGTCTTCAAAAAGATTTCTTGTTAAAACCAAATCCATTCCTATTTTCATTTTGATATGCCACAGGTTCATATCACATGGCACTGATGTAAATTTTCACATCAGTGAAAATGTGTTTTTTACTGTCATTGTATTCTGTATTCTGCTGACAAATTGGAGGAAGAGAAGTGAATTTGGCTAGGTTGTGAGAATGGCCAGCAACAAGAATGAGACAAGTTTCACAGTACAAGTCATAAGCCAAGTCAGGGCCTCCTTCAAAACGTAGTTCTGCTTTCTTCCGCAAGTTTAACAATTCCTTACTTCAAACCATCAGTTCAAAGAAAAGGCTGCACATATGCTTTTCTCTATTTAGGTGCTATAGACAGCACACTAGAGTTAGGGCATATATATTTCCCCATGGAGAAGATGCATGTCAGAGAAGGATACAATCTTACAGTATTAATAAAGAGATGTATGGTGTAAGTGCAAGCTTTATCTAAAGCAAATTTGCTACTTTTTAAAGAGCAAAGTCTTCTCCTGCACATGTATTTGTATATAGCTGATCTTGAGAGGTTTGACAACAGTAACAGGAACAGTCCCTTCTGCTTGTACAGTCAAGGTGGGATTACACTTCAGCAGCTTTATTTCTAATCACTGTTTCTTGAAAACATGAGATGCATGCACTGTGCTCAGTATGCTCACTAAGACCAAAGTATTAGTACTTACCTTCTTCATTTCCTGAAACAATTGAATATACAATAGTTTGGTTCAAAGCAGCTGCCATTACAACAGCAACCACGGTTCCTTTTGGTGCGCTTTCACTCACTGGTGGGGGTCTGCAGAATGAAACAGAAGTATTTGGGTTATCTCCCCGTTGCCTGACCATCAGAGTACTGATAAACCTAAAAATTCAGGTTAGCAGTTACATCCATCCAGCACACTGCCAAGGCAGGATGATCTTTTATTAAGGAAAAACATATCAAATTGCAAATGGAAAAAAAAAAAAAGAAAAGTGTAACTGACAAGAGGTGACCGTATATAGATAAAACAGTCTTTTGATAATGAGAAATTGAAATCCTGGAAATAACAAGTAGAAACTAAAGAGAAACACAAGAACCATCAGGCACTGATAAACTGCAACCAACATTTATACCATAACAAGTCTGTTTTAACACTCACCTGTACCTAAGGTGTAAAAAAAACTGTAAGCTAACCAAAATGCATGCAGGAAAATTTCTGGATAACCCTCTTTAGAATTTAAACAAATTGAAAAGCCACCTCCAAAGGATCTTCCATTCTTCAGAAATATCTGGAAATTGTTCTGCTAACCCATTTTTGTCATAAAAGACAAGATACTTTTCAGGAAATTAACTGCCATCCAAGAATAAATACACATCTTTTAATCACTTAGAAAAGTGTTTCTGATTCAATGAGCAATGAGCACTGATGTGTGGGGAAAAAAAAAGAAAAAAGGATTACACCACTAATGTGTATCTTGTCCTCTTCATACCCTCCAAACACTGAAAAATGAGTGACTCACATTGCATAAAAATAATGAGTTTCCTCCTGAAAACCAACAGTTACTTACCTCTCTCTCTCCTGTTGTTTAAATGCTATTTCCTTGGAAAATGCAGTATAACCTTGAGATGCTCTCTCAAGGAAACCACAACTACTTCCAAATGAAAATGGAGGTCGTGCTAATGAATTTCAGAACAGTAGGTGTATTTCAGTTTTGTACTCATCTCCAAAATTTTGGACAGAATCTATGCCTTCCCTCGATTCAGGGAATATTTTATGCAACCCCTCTTTCATCCTCTTCCAGTAGTCTTCAAACACTCCACCACACCCCACACTTTCCCATTCCACAGGCAGAAAGTTGGATTCCCAGTTTGCAATCCTAATTATTGAAACCAGATCTGAATTTCACCTTCACACACTGAGAGCCCAAACAGTCTGCCTTTGATTACAGACTTTTTCATTGGGATGAATCACCACAAACCCAGCACAGGCCCTGTTTCTAACACAACTGGTCCTTACACCACCCATAAAATGTCAAAGGCAAACCATACCCATGACCCACAGGGCTCTTACTTCCCTTGTTGCGACTTCTTCCATTGCTTTATCTGCTTTTTATTTTTATTATTATTTTTTTTGATCCTTGTAGAATGGCGGGTCCTTCTAAACTAAACCATGGTGGGTGAGTTATCAACTCTTCTGAGGAGCCCTAAGCCTCCCAGTACACAAATAAAGGGGGAAAATACTTTTCCAAGCTGAACAACACTGTACTGAAACATGAGCCTTGATTCTTTCGCACAGTAACACCATGGTAAGCTCACTTGTACCCGAATACACATGCACAGCAGTACATACACATGACACACCACCCTGGCTCTGATTCTTCTGCCTCAAACATGCTATCAGCAGTAGATTATTAAATTATTAAATTCATGATTGCTATTTAATTGATTAAGCTACAAAACCAGTGTTACACAACGTTTATTAACATGCACTTTACAAATGCAAACGTTAATCTTCAAGACAGAAAAAAGGCTGTCAAATCTGAAAACATTTCAAGCTGTAGCTCTTTTGATGAGGTCAGAAATGCAGGCCAGTGAGAAAAAAAGATCCATTTTATGTTGCATTACATGTTCCTTTGTTTTCTTTCTCTTTTAAGGCACATGATTTGAACAAAAACCTTATTGACTCTATATTCAAAACCTACATTTCATCTGAAGCACACTTTCAGCCTATTCTTTTAATGCAAATGGCCTTGTAACCTCCCCTCTGACACAGCTGAATTCAATGAATTGACAAATCAATATCAATTAGAAAGAGGCTTTTGTGTTTGCTATGAAAGGCCATAGAGGGAGCGGACAGAAAACCACCGCAGTAATGGCATTGATTTAATTTCCCTGATTTAACTAAGGTGACCAAGTTCAAAGGGAGCAATGCATCAGTGGAATTAAAACATACAGCTGGTCTCTTAACATTTTGCCGAAATGTAGAGAAGCAAAGTAGTAAAAGACAAAGGTATGCAACTGACAATATACCGTTCTTTATCCTGTACTGCAAGCTCTAATAAGCTTTCTTTGGGAATAAGCTCATTATTTTCCAATTTTTGAATGACTAAGATCTACAACAGTGATTTGTGTGTGTGTGAGTAGTAGACATATCATTAAAAGCTATTTTAGGCAACAGGCAAGGACATTTTGAGGCAATAATTTTGCATTACTGAACGTCAAAGGCTGGTTAGAGAAGACCTGACAGCAGCAAGGCGGTTCAATCCCGTCCAGGCCACCCAGATGAGGCTTAGAAACCAGTGTATGTGAACAGGGATGATGCTGCTGGGGCGAGAGCGCACGATGAGGATTCAGAGCCTCTGAAGGTATTTGTGTCTGATAATGCCTGCAACACCTCGTTGAGCCTCTGAGCTCAGCTGCGAGCACAGTCATTACCCTGCCAGCCATGGGCTCTGACCCCACGCAACCACAGGTCTCTGTCACTGTCACTTCCGTGAGACTGGCTCCTCCATGGGACTGGAACACCACTGCCCTCCAGTCTGCTTCTGGTCCATTTGAAACATTTTAAATGAAACAACCACTTTCTGAGCTTCCAGCAAAACACATTCTCAAATCCATGGTTTCTAATACCCTCTCCTCCCCCCCTTACTTACTCGCGCAGGCAGCCACGCACATGCAATCACTCCATGTCAGAAGGCCCTGTGCAATAACATGACTTAAACACAAGAAATCTTTGGGTGAAATGAGATAAAGAGCAATTAATGCACTCTTAGGTACCTCAGCTCCAACTCAGTCCACCCGCGGTCTTAATCTTTCATCCTGAACATGACTGGTCTTAATCTTTGATCCTTTGCACAACTGTCTTTTAACACTGGCAAAATAAATTTATTTCTGTACCAATGGTTCATTTACTCACAGGATTTTTCTGTAGCCGTCACAGCAATGTCAGCAATGTGCAATTTGGCCAATATTCGCTGCAATGCTGAAATAATAAATGCTGCTGTCTTGTTAGCATCCCGGATGGGGTGGTCCCCAGGAGCGACCCCAGCACTGGGGTGCAATAGAAACCCCCTAGGATCCCCAGCCTCATTGCGGAGCCACCCCACCTGCCCAAGCCCTTCCTAACAAGCTGTGGTAGGAGAAGAGGGCCCCAAAGCAGCAAAGTATAAAAAAGAATTGCCTCAACTGCTTTGTGCCACACTGAGATAAGGCCTGTATCCAGCAGCCTCGGATTTGGGAAAAATAACATGCTTTCAAATGGATCTAAAACTGACGTTCAGTAATACGCCTTCTGTCCTACTCTTTGGATTTAGCTCCCCCAAAGAAGTTTAAGAATTGCCTGTATTTCTCTCCTTGAGACCTCTACTGTATTGCTTGCTGCCTTCATGCCATAAACTGTTTGCCCCTCAAAAAAAAAAAAAAAAAAAGACAAACAAACAACAACAACAACAACAAAAAGACAAAAGTGTTCATAACCTAGAAGAAAACCAGGATTAAAACAAATCCATTATTTAAACAGAAAAAAAAAAAAAAAAAAACAAGTTATAAAAATGTAGTTATTTTTTAATTTGCTATATCTCAATTATTCTAATCTTGCATCAGAGGGGGAAATGAAGACAGAATACATATTAAAAACACACTGGTAAGGTATAATTATTTTTAAACCCCAAAGCATAATTTTAACTTTTCCTCCTTTTCTCTTTTTCTTCCTTTGCTAAGCAAGTCAAACTCTCATTCATTTTTCAATTTGTCTGCTACCCAATATGCTTTAAATTCACCATGAAATTTTTCTATCTCCAAAAGCGTGAACATCAGATTTAATCAAAAATTAAATTTAAAACCAGCAAACCCAATAATAAATTGGAAAATTGGTTTAGCACTGAAGTTTAATAGCATGATGTGTACTTACGCTGTATTGGACACTTCAGTCAACTGTTTGGTGGATTTTATTTTAGTTCATGGAGGCCCACCAGCACAGGCCAGGAGATAAGCATTTTTATTTTATTATGTTTTTAATTACTTTACTAAAATTCTCATACTGACTTGATTAAAAAGTCATTTGGACCCCTCCTAATAACATCATCTCCCTACCTTCTCTAACATGACAGCTTCTTGAGATGTTTTGGCCTTAGCTACTTTTAACTCTCAGTGGCATTTTACCTGAAGCTTTCATACTGAAACCTTTCTAAGCATTGTACCCACTCCTGCAGAGATTCTTTATCTTACTCCTCATGGGAAGTGATTATTTTTTTTTTCTATCTGATTATTTGCATTAAAGAGAAGATATGTAATCCATTTATATATATATATCACAGAATCACAGAATTTCTAGGTTGGAAGAGACCTCAAGATCATCGAGTCCAACCTCTAACCTAACACTAACAGTCCCCACTAAACCATATCCCTAAGCTCTACATCTAAACGTCTTTTGAAGACTTCCAGGGATGGTGACTCCACCACCTCCCTGGGCAGCCCGTTCCAGTGCCTAACAACCCTTTCGGTAAAGAGGTTCTTCCTAACATCTAACCTAAAACTCCCCTGGCACAACTTTAGCCCATTCCCCCTCGTCCTGTCACCAGGCACGTGGGAGAACAGACCAACCCCCACCTCGCTACAGCCTCCTTTAAGGTACCTGTAGAGAGCGATAAGGTCACCCCTGAGCCTCCTTTTCTCCAGGCTGAACAAGCCCAGCTCCTTCAGCCGCTCCTCATAGGACTTGTTCTCCAGGCCCCTCACCAGCTTCGTCGCCCTTCTCTGGACCCACTCAAGCACCTCCATGTCCTTCTTGTAGCGAGGGGCCCAAAACTGAACACAGT